GGGCCAGAACTCCAGAAGCCCTCCCACTGTTGCCCCCCCCAAGCACCAAGAAGACAGAGCATCACTGCCCCAGACATAAGAACATAAGCACAGCCTTCTTAGCTTAGGCCAATGGCCCATCCAGTTCAACACTCTGTGTCATACAGTGGCCAAAACCCAGGGGCCTTCAGGAGGTCCACCAGTGGGGCCAGAACTCCAGAAGCCCTCCCACTGTTGCCCCCCCCCCAAGCACCAAGAACACAGAGCATCACTGCCCCAGACATAAGAACATAAGCGAAACCATGTTAGCTCAGGCCCATCCAGTCCAACACTCTGTGTCATACAGTGGCCAAAACCCAGGTGCCATCAGCAGGTCCACCACTGGGGCCAGAACTCCAGAAGCCCTCCCACTGCTGCCCCCCCCCCCAAGCACCAAGTAGACAGAGCATCACTGCTCAAGACAGAGTGTTCCATCTATACCTTGTGGCTTAAAGCCACTGATGGGCCTCTCCTCCACAGGTTTATCCAATCCCTTTTTTGAAGCTGTCTATGCTTGTAGCTGCCACCAGTTCCTGCAGCAGAGAATTCCACATGCTAATTACTGTTTGGGTGAAGGAGTACTCCCTTCTATCTATTCTAAGCCTACTGCTTATTAATTTCATGGAGTGCCCACAAGTTCTTGTATTGTGAGACAGGGAGAAAAGTACTCCTTTCTCTACCTTCTCCATCCCATGCGTAATAATGAAACTTGCTGGGAGATCTTGGTCTAAAAACACACCATCAGGCCCAAACTTGTCTCACAGGGATAATCTCCTCCATGCGCACCTCTCTGGGATTCTCAGTTGGGGTAGAAATTAATACAGCAAGAGCTGACTTTGATCCCTTCAGATAGATACCTCCTGGGCCTAGGCCTTGAAACCATGGTAAGCCACGGGTCCTCAAAGTTTCCTCACTAATAATAATTGCATTCTGTTGAGTTGTGGCCAACTCATGATCAATGTTCCCTCTAAGCTGTGGAGTCTTGTGAGCAAAAATTCTGCTTTGTGAGCTACCAGCATTAAAGTTGTGAGCGAGCGATTTGTCTGCTGCATAAATCAGTTTGCTTTGGAACCATCCTTCCTGAGCTAAGACCAAAATCTGTGAGCCGGAGGTTAAAAAAATGTGAGCTAGCTCACACTAACTCAGCTTAGAGGGAACATTGCTCATGATCATTGTTCCCTCTAAGCTGTGGAGTCTCGTGAGCAATTATTCTGCTTTGTGAGCTGCTGACATTAAAGCTGTGAGCGAGCGATTCGGCTACTGCATAAATTAGTTGGCTCTGGCACCATCCTCCCTGAGCTAAGACAAAAATGTGTAGCCGGAGGCTAAAAAACTGTTGAGCTAGCTCACACTAACTCAGCTTAGAGGGAACACTGCTCATGATGACCCCAGGACTGTTGGGTTTTCAAGGCAAGAGATGGGTAGAGGTGGTTTTCCATTGCCTGCCTCTGCATAGCAACCTCTGTCTACCTTGGTGGTCTCCCATCCACATACGAACCATGCTTACCTTCCAAGGTCTGATGAGATCAGTGAGGCTGGCCTATCAGGCTGCTGCGCTGTCCGTGAGCATCACCAAAACAGAGATTCCGGGATCCTGAATTTCCCTTCCTCTCCTCTTCCACGTGGCAAGGGGATGGTCAGTCCCACCACTTCCCCGAATGCTTCGTTCCATGCGGTCGGAGAAGACTCTCCGAGAAGTTAGATCCAGGTGGTGAGCCGTGTTAGTCTGAAGCAGGGGAACAAACTTAGAGTCCAGTGGCGCCTTTAAGACCCACAAAACTCATACCTTGAATAAAACCTTGTTGGTCTTAAAGGTGCCACTGGACTCTAAGTTTGTTCTCCTAGAAGTTGTTCATCCGCCTCATCTTCTCAATTCACACCCCACTGGTTTGGTTCTCTGTGCGTTAAGGGGCACACTTGCCCTCCTCCTTCTTCCGCCTTTCGGGGGGCTGATGTTCCTGGAAGCGCTGCAGTCGGGTCTGTCTGCTCTCTTTCTGGCCTGGGCCCCTCCAAACCTAGCATTTACAAGGGCCGTGGTCACACTGGTGGCTTGGCGCGATATGGTGCCGCCTCTAATTGAACCGGTTTAAAGTGTTGTGGGGCATGTCAGCCACACAACACACCCTGCTGCAGGTTACCCATGGAGACCTCCTGTGGTAAAGCATCCCCATTATTGCAGCGCCTCAGCCATGGAGCGCACTGCAAAGGGTTTTCCAAAATTCATGCACGTGCATAATGCACACATGCGCGCACATGTGTGCTCATGTGCTTGCACGCTCATGTGCACAGAGGCAATTAAAAAAAAAACCACCTCCCTAGTGGCAGAATGGATCTACGGGTTCAGACTGCCAAATCTGTTCTGCGCACACTCCCCCGCGTTCAGACATCCGGCCGTGCGCAATGACTGCGGGGGGAACCCAAAACACCACTTGTGATGTGGTGCCTTTTTAATGCGGCTCCAAGTCATCCTGTGATGGGATACGTATGGCTGGGGAACCTGACAGATATGGCTGTCTGACTGCGCCCATTTGATTCGGAGGGGAGGAGTGGGTGTGTCGGGCCAAACTTCCTGTGTGATCACAGCCAAGGTAGCGGCAGCAGCAGCAGCAGCGTCTGACTCTTACCCTGTATCAGGGTTGATCCATCAGCTGCTGGACTGATGTGACATTGCCACCAAATCTTGCCTGGAAATTTTAAGTTGAATTTGGAAGTTTTCAGCTTGGAGACACACACACCCTCCCCAAATCAAGGATGTTCCAAGGGGAGCAAAAGAGTTTTGATAACAATTGTAAACTCCCTCACTAGGGTTTTGCCCATCCCTAGTTTGGAATGGCATAAGAACATAAGAGAAGCCAATGTTGGATCAGGCCAGTGGCCCATCCAGTCTAACACTCTGTATCACACAGTGGCCAAAAACACCAGGTGCCATCAGGAGGTCCAGCAGTGGGGCCAGGACACTAGAAGCCCTCCCACTGTTGCCCCACCCCCCAGCACCAAGAATACAGAGCATCCCTTGCCCCAGACCAAGAGTTCCTACCTATACCTCGTGGCTAATAGCCACTGATGGACCTCTGCTCCATATGTTTATCCAACTCCCTCTTGAAGCAGTCAGTGCTTGTAGCCGCCGCCACCTCCTGTGGCAGGGAATTCCATGTGTTAATACAATACTGTGCTATCCAAAGAAGCACGATGGGTAGCCGTTACTAATATCAAAGTGCCATTACAGTTTCCCAGCGCAATGTAAACAGGACCCATGCACCATTTTGGAAAGGTGGAAGGATCGTGACTCAGTGGCTAAGCCTCTGCTTGGCTCTCAGTAGGTCCCAGGTTCAATCCCCGGCATCTCCAGTTTAAAGGACCAGGCTGTAGGTGATGTGAAAGACTTCTGCCTGAGACAGCCGCTGCCTGTCTGACTAGACAATGCTGACCCTGATGGACCAAGAGTCTGATTCTGCCAAAGGCAGCTTCCATGTGTTCATGTGTACCCTGAGAAATCTCAAATAGTCAAGCAATAACTAGCAAGGATGTTTTTCCAATTGCCGTCGAAGGCTTCTGTTCTTTGCACCAAACGGCTTGCTGGCCCTCGAACCCAGCTGTGCAAAACTCATTAAAGCAGATTGTGTTACGTGTGTGCCGCTCTGCGGGCCAAGCCTCCTCCAGGGTGTTGGCAAAGGCTGTGCGCCACACCCAGCGTTTAATCTTTTTATACACAGAGCTGCAAATTCCTCAGCTGCTGCTGGTTGCGCCTCAAAGATCTGGAAGCAGCAAACCATGCAAAACCCCAGCGGCAACCTGGCAGCGAGGGGCGTTGCATCTTCCAGATTCTTTGAAGGCCGGGCTGGCTTTCACGGTCTGTCAAGGATGCTGCTGCACACTGGGTGTGCAATAAAAACGTGTGCATAAACTTAACCGAGATGCGTCTAAGGTATCGATTTGGGGGACTTGTGGAGGTAACTTTTAGAAAACCTATTACAGTCCTGGGGAAACGTACAAGGGGCCACCTTTACCTTAACCACACAGCCCTTGTGTTTGATAGTGAATAACACAAGGACTTTGTCTCACATGTGTGATAGGAATTTTGCGCCTTCTGGACGCACACCAGCTCATGTCTGTTTGCGCACCACGGCCTGCAGGGAGGAATGGCTGTAGCCTCCCCCACTGCTGTTTTTGTGTTCTTAAACTGCCTCATGGAACTCCTATGAGCTCTGTTGCAAAATTTATGTGTCGTAAGTAAAGTGATTTTTACAGTGGAGCCAATTACAGCTCCGTGGGTCAGTTTGAGAATGCGAAAACAAACCTGGAGGGCTTTGTAATGTATTAATGGAGACTAAGACACAGAAGTTTTGCCAGTTTAAACCCCAAACCAGATAATAAAAACAAAAAAAAACCCATACAGGTAAAAAAAAGCTGCAGTCTTAAAAACCTCTGGATTTATTCACTGCACAAGCTCTAGCATCAGTTGATTGGAATAAGTCCTCCCTAGCCATTGACTTACTTGTTGAAGTGCTATGGAATGCTTAAAAACATTCCAACTTCTCAGGAGTTTAAAAAACCTGTCAGCACCCAGAGTAGATAAGGCTTGTGCTGATCGGTGGGAAAGTCTTTAGCAAGAAAAAGGAGTAGCCGGCTGTATTGAGTTTACACTATGTGCATGGGAGTAGCATGAGAATGATTTGTGTGAGCAGTGTGTCTGAGCATTTAGAAAGTTCCAGGTTTGGTACCTCCAGTTAAGGTGATGGATTGAAAGTCCTCTGTCTGGGACCCTGGAGAACAGGTACTGGTCAGGGTAGACAAGACTGACATTGATAGACCTACAGTGTCACTCAGTAAGGCAGTTTCATGTGTTAATTTATGTTTTTGATTGGATGTCTTTTATACATTACCTGCCAAAGAGATGGGATGGGTTAGGACTTAAAACGTAACAGTGAACACGGAAAAGCATGCCTTCATGTGACTTTGTGCCGCTTTGTGTATGTGCATAGGTGCAACTCTGAGGTAAAATATGGCTCCGAGCGACATTACAAGGACGACATATTCTACTGCCCGATCCCCACGGTCACCACCTACAGCGAGACCGTCATCGCTGCCCCCAATTGTACGTGGCGGAACTACAAGTCTCAGCTGATCTTCGAGCCACGCCAGAAGCCCCTCCGGTTCCAGAGCACAACGATCATCTTCCCCAAACACGCAAAGAACATTTACCGGACCACTCTCAACTATAGCCTGGGATGTGCCAAGCGCTGGTTTGCCTCGAGCGTGCAGCTAGAGCTCTGCGAGGAGAGCAGCCCCTGCCTCATCTACACGGGGAACCTTTAAAACAGTATTCCGCCTGCCAGGGGGAGCTCGTAACCAAAACGTAAGGCTTAGGCCTGCAGTGGAGGCAAAGCCCTTTCAAGACTGCCAGTCTTTGGCTGAGGCCCTCTGTTCGCCACCAGCCAGGGCCATTAATTTTTACACATGGCCTTGGCGGTACACAGTTCGATCACCCACCCACCCCCCGCTCTGAGAAGAAGCCAAAGGAGAGATTTGTCTTCGTATTCAAAGCGGCTAAGGGCTGGGGTTTTTGATTCTTCTCACTGTGAATCCGCTCTGTTCAGTTCACACTTAAATGCAATCTTAAAATCCTTCAGGTGCCTTAAAAAGTGCTGTTCTTATACTCTTGTGAAGGCCTCTCCGTAGTGTGTAAGATGTCCCAAGCATTTCCTTGGAGAGGATGGTTACGTCAGAGACAACAGTTTCACTGACTCAAGACATCAGAGACATCGTGGTGAGCCATACGGAACATTGGTCGCATCCTGGTTAGGATGGCCATGGTCATGGTTGACCCATAAATAACTGGCCATGGATGTGATAAGGGATAGGGAAATGGACGTTTTTGTGCAGTTGTTGAGGTGTCGCCGAATCAGGAACCAGCTGTCTATGTTTGCCTTAGGAAATAACTGCATACTTAGAAAAAGCCAAGAACGGGATTCTTTTTCTAGGGTAGCTGTGACACATAAGACAATCTTGGAAAGCTAAGTGTAATGTTGTATAGGGTCAGAGTTTTCAGGTGAGCTCGTTCCTGCAGGAGGCTGTGTTTTCGACAATCATTTGCTCTAAATAATTGTAAACCAGCAGCTTTTAATAGCAGTGTATAGGACCAAAGGGTTTTTAAAAAAAAATGCTTTGTGATAAAGGACTGTAAAACTCACAGCAGGGTTTCCCGAATGCAGAGCTTGGTTCTGTGGGAACATGAGGAGGTGGGGGAAACTGGATTTGCTTGGACTTGTAGTGTCACAAACCTAGCCTGAGGTAAATGGATAGGGCAGGAAGAGAGTGTATGAAAATGCAGGAAAGGGGGAAGGGACTTGAAAGTTGTGGCTTAGTTACACATGGAGCGCAATTAAAGGAAATAATGCGCATCGTTCACAGCAATGGTTCAGTTGCTGTTATACTGCCTAGGAAGATTGTGCTTTTGAACAGGGAATGGTAACCGATTAAGCCAACTGCAGATCCAGCATGCAACAATTGTTTGATCTCCCGTTATACCAATAAGAAAGATTGTGTTTCTGAATGGAGAGCAACATACATTTAAAGCCAACTGTGTATGTAATTCGCAACCATGACCCAGAAACTGGAGAACTGACTATGGCAGGAATTGCATATCTGCAAAAATGTTTGGAACACTGATGCTGGTTCATGAGAAAGCAAGTAATATCCTTGAGGATAAGTAGGGAATTTTCACATATCCCTAGAGTCATGTAGATCCCAACTGTTTTGGTAAAATCCGGTCCACAGGCGAATTCAATCCCTCATATGTAGCTTAGAGAGGATCCAGCCAGATTCCTCATAAAGCTTGTCAATTGTAAATTCAGAAACTTAACTGAATGATTTCTTAAATATAGGATGAAAACCACGGATGAAAATATCTGTGTGACAAAGGGAACGTTCCTAGGTCATGTCCCCACAATCCAACCCACTCTGGCCAGACTGCTTTTGCTTGCTTCCAAGACTAAAACTCTGTACACAAGTGACAATGAACGCATGTACGTCCTGCCTGTACATGCATACATCTGTTGTTAGGAAAGAGCCAATGTGTGTTCAATTTAGAAATAAAACCAGGGTCCTGTACCTGGTAACTGTGTGGTTTCAATCGCATGTTTAGCTGTACATGCATGGAATGTAACATGAGAATTACTCATTGCATGTGTACAGAACAAGCAAGTGTACACTGCCTACGGATGGTACATGCAATATGTGCAACTTGTGAACAGGGCTTAAGAAAACCAAGGGAGGCCTTAGTTCCATATGTCAGGACAGATGCCATGAACTTATTGTATTGATGATCCTTGGTCCTAGGCCAAACACAACTCCAGGTTGTTCCTAAAAAAAACCCTAACAGACAAAACCTCCGATGGAAGACATTGAGGAATTTCAGACAGGCGATATATTCCGGTTCAGGAATGGTTCCCAAACAGTTTCTGGTCTGACATTTCAGACAGAACCATTTTAGAACCGGTTCCCTACCAGAATATATTTGTACTTTCACACACAAATACTTCTGTCCCATTCAGGAAACGGGGCGAAACTGTTTTACCTGTAAACCACTTCCAAGTAGTGGATCGCGTGGGCGATCTCCAGCTTTTTTTTTTGAAACGCTTTTTCCCGCCATTTTTTGCCCGCGTGGGCGATCTCCAGCTTTTTTTGGGGGGGGGGACACGTGCGCTTTAGAGCGCTATAGCGCTATAGCAAAGCAGCGTTATAGCAACCCCATTGGAATGCCTGGAGTGTTGTGTAATAGCGCTATAGCACTCTAAAGCAAACGTTAAAAAAAAGCCAGAGATCACCCGCGCGGATGAAAAACGGGAAAAAGCAGTACAGTCTGAAATGGCAAACCGCTTCAGATACAGCTGTTTACTGGCAGGGGAAAGCCATGTGTGAAATGGCAGCCCTATACCGGCTTACTCCACAACAGATCAAAAACAGCTTCAAACCAGCTTAAAAAGGGTAATGTGAAATTCCTCACAGTCTTTTGACAAGTCTTTTAAATGTGTTGGTAAAGATGCCTTTGGTTTCAGTTCCAGGTCAGGGGTACATAATATGTATACACACATCATAGTTAAGGATAGAGGACTGACACTATTGAGTAAATACAAGCAGTAATTTAGCAAGTTGTAACTTTGTCATGTCCTGACCTGGATGGCCCAGGCTGGCCTGATATAATCAGATCTCAGGAGGGTCAGTCTTGTTTAGTGTAGGGATGGGAGACCACCAAGAATTGCTACGCAGAGGGTTGCTATGCTATGCAGACCACCTCTGTAGGTGTCTTGCCTCGAAAACACTTCGGGGTTGCCGTAAATTAGTTGCAATGATGGCTCTTCCAACTTATCTATCAGGGTTGAATACAGACAACAGTTTTACAGGTAGCAACTTACCATTGCTTTCGTGTGTATCACTCGCTCATCTGAGATGTTGTTCACACAAACAGCAGAAGAGACAGTAATGCTGTTCTGGGGATTGTTGCAATCCAGTCTGTGGGTAGAAACCCATAGGGTTTAAGGGAAGGGGAGGGAATCGCTACATGGTGAATGCTGGCAAGAATGTTACATATGTATATTTCTGTGCACCCAGGTTGTGTTCAGAAGTTACACTGAATGCATATAGATGTGGGACAAGCAGGCACAATCGCATTCCCAGCTCTCCCCGGGGTAATTTGTGAACCATCTTGCGTTATGTAAATAACACCTTAGTAAGTCACTTGTCTATATCATCCTTTGGTGATTTTTATGTGCAGAGTTTGGGTTTGTTTTTAAGCATCGGGGCGCTTTCAGTCACGCAGTTCCACACCTGGATTCATAGATCTTGTCTTTTTGGTGTGAACTAGACTCCATTATGTAGGAGTTTGACTCCTCTTTTGTATCCGATGAGGAAGTTGGGGAGTGGTAACATCCACTCCACCACACAGGACCATTGCCTACCCCTAGTGAACTGACTATTTGGCAAATATTTGTCTGAGTTTGCCTTGCGTAACATCCTGCTGTGTAATTAGGAGAATTTCACCTTACATGTGTAAATTTACCTCACATCAGAAATCTGGCATGAGTGTGACCGATTTCACACAAGAGCTGCGCCGTGGTCGCGCCTCCCTTTGCCCTGCTTCTATTGGTCAATTTCCCACTCGAAGCCGCGTGGCCGCATTTTGACCCGCGGCTTCGCCCGATTTTCCCGGCGGCGCAGCTCTTGTGTAAAATCGGTCTCTGTGTGGGGAATGAGGGACACGGAAATGATAAAATGCACCTCGTGTAACATCCTGCTAAGTGATGAGGAGAATTTTACCTCACATGTACAAATTTACCTCACATGAGAAATCTGGCCTACAGCACCCGGTATTCCCAGGCGGTCTCCCATCCAAGTACTAACCAGGCCTGACCCTGCTTAGCTTCCGAGATCAGACGAGATCGGGCGTGTTCAGGGTGGTATGGCCGTAGGCGAGAAATTTGGCATGAGTGAGTATGGGGAATGAGGGACATGGGAATGATAAATTTCTCCTGTGTATAGGAAGATGTCGAGAAGAAGTTTTCTAAGTGATATTTATACAGCACAGAACTGTTCACAAGATACATCTGGGGAGCATTGGGAGGGAGGGAGAAAGGGAACTGCACATACTCAATCCCTTTGGTGAAACTTGTGAACGGAGTCCACATGCACAGAGGTAAAGACATATTTTGGACTCCCTGTTAATGCAGGATTCCGATGGTGTGTTAAGGTATATTCACAAATTTTATTGAATGCCTGTAGTTTAAGGCTACTACCGTAGGTGTAGCTCCCCCCGTGTACGCGTGCTCACTCTCCCCCAGTGTATCTTGTGAACAGTCCTGTGGTAAGCGGTTGTCTTTGTTCACACTTTATAACATCCTGGGAAGTAGTGTGTGGAGAATTTTACCTCACATTTTTACATTTACCTCACAGCCAAAAATTGGGTAAGGAGTAGGAGAATGGTGAAGTTTTCCTGACCGCTTGTTTTCAACAAAACCTGCATTTTTGTTGACTTTAGCAAGAGTGCGATTCTGATAGCCTCCCCCCACCCCCCATGTCAAATTCAGAAGAATATTCTGGATAAGAACCAAGCTTTGTGTAGGGCAGAAGGCCGAAGTCTGTGCTGTATTTAGTGTTACTACTAATTTTCCCAACCGCAAAATTAACCCTTATCCAGAATGTATTGTGTACATTTAAGGGAACTAGTCCCGTCTTCCTTTCTTTTCAGTGGGATGTTATATTTTTGAAAGTGACAGATCTTTATATATTTATTTTTACTCCTGGAGATCACCAGCCATTGAACCTGAGTAAAAGAAACGTAGCTTTTAAAAAGTAGTTATATGAAAGTCTCACGCCTTGCTATCCTTTGTCATGCTGAAACCTACCTATGTGATTGAAATCCTTTCATTCTAAAGCTTTTGGTTTTTTTAAAATAATTTTGGAAAGTGCAAACTTTTACCAAAATGGGCCGCAGTCCGCGGAAGTTATGTGCACGAGTCTGTGGGTGAACATACAAATGATTTATATGGTGTCTGACCGCCGGGTTCCTCTATCTCAGTATTCTGAATTTTGGCGGGCTGTGGCTGT